CTTCCTTCCTTCCTTCCTTCCTTCCTTCCTTCCTTCCTTCCTTCCTTCCTTCCTTCCTTCCTTCCTTCCTTCCTTCCTTCCTTCCTTCCTTCCTTCCTTCCTTCCTTCCTTCCTTCCTTCCTTCCTTCCTTCCTTCCTTCCTTCCTTCCTTCCTTCCTTCCTTCCTTCCTTCCTTCCTTCCTTCCTTCCTTCCTTCCTTCCTTCCTTCCTTCCTTCCTTCCTTCCTTCCTTCCTTCCTTCCTTCCTTCCTTCCTTCCTTCCTTCCTTCCTTCCTTCCTTCCTTCCTTCCTTCCTTCCTTCCTTCCTTCCTTCCTTCCTTCCTTCCTTCCTTCCTTCCTTCCTTCCTTCCTTCCTTCCTTCCTTCCTTCCTTCCTTCCTTCCTTCCTTCCTTCCTTCCTTCCTTCCTTCCTTCCTTCCTTCCTTCCTTCCTTCCTTCCTTCCTTCCTTCCTTCCTTCCTTCCTTCCTTCCTTCCTTCCTTCCTTCCTTCCTTCCTTCCTTCCTTCCTTCCTTCCTTCCTTCCTTCCTTCCTTCCTTCCTTCCTTCCTTCCTTCCTTCCTTCCTTCCTTCCTTCCTTCCTTCCTTCCTTCCTTCCTTCCTTCCTTCCTTCCTTCCTTCCTTCCTTCCTTCCTTCCTTCCTTCCTTCCTTCCTTCCTTCCTTCCTTCCTTCCTTCCTTCCTTCCTTCCTTCCTTCCTTCCTTCCTTCCTTCCTTCCTTCCTTCCTTCCTTCCTTCCTTCCTTCCTTCCTTCCTTCCTTCCTTCCTTCCTTCCTTCCTTCCTTCCTTCCTTCCTTCCTTCCTTCCTTCCTTCCTTCCTTCCTTCCTTCCTTCCTTCCTTCCTTCCTTCCTTCCTTCCTTCCTTCCTTCCTTCCTTCCTTCCTTCCTTCCTTCCTTCCTTCCTTCCTTCCTTCCTTCCTTCCTTCCTTCCTTCCTTCCTTCCTTCCTTCCTTCCTTCCTTCCTTCCTTCCTTCCTTCCTTCCTTCCTTCCTTCCTTCCTTCCTTCCTTCCTTCCTTCCTTCCTTCCTTCCTTCCTTCCTTCCTTCCTTCCTTCCTTCCTTCCTTCCTTCCTTCCTTCCTTCCTTCCTTCCTTCCTTCCTTCCTTCCTTCCTTCCTTCCTTCCTTCCTTCCTTCCTTCCTTCCTTCCTTCCTTCCTTCCTTCCTTCCTTCCTTCCTTCCTTCCTTCCTTCCTTCCTTCCTTCCTTCCTTCCTTCCTTCCTTCCTTCCTTCCTTTTCTTCTAGCAAAACATAGATATGGTTGTGTCTGTGAAAGATGGGATTGGGGTATTTTTCCAATTTTGCCCTTATTTTGAGTAGGGTATTAAACCTGTAATAGATATTAAGAACTTAATGCATTGATGTCCTGAGTCATTCATGGTAGGCCATCCCTCATGCCATGATGACATCTTTAAGTCACGTGTTGTCTTGCCTGCTCTAGGTTGTGCTTGCTACAAAATTGTGTGCTTGTTTGGCTCTAACTGCATTCTCGAAATTGGGATAAAAGCATCATTTTAGCCTCACTGTCTTAAAGATCTTTTATTGTGCAGCTAAGAGCAGAGAAAACAGAGTAATTTTATGTTTCTCTTGCTGCAGATCTTTCCCATGTACCCTGACATGTTTGGTATAGCACTGGGGGCTCCCTTTATAGTTGGGTTAACGTTAGAATTGTAGTCAGAGTTGTTTTTCTGGAGTTTCTTATAAGATTTTATTCCTTTGTGTACTATATAAAGGTTAAGGCATTATTCAAACTCAACATGAAAGTTATTATAGAAGTATTTTTCTTTCATGTTAGAATTTCCTTAGAGTTGGTATATTCTTCCTTCCATTGTATATTGTTTTGACGATGTCGTTATTCTCTTGCAGCCAGAACGGATAGACCCGCCAGACCCCGCAAGGCCGGATTATGATATTCGTGCTGATGTTTGGAGTTTGGGCATCACTCTAGTAGAGCTTGCTACAGGGCAGTTTCCATATAAAGATTGTCGCAATGACTTTGAGGTTGGTGCCTTTTGTTTTTTGGTTGTTGGTTCTCTTTCTCTTTCTTTCTTTTTCTCTCTCTTCTTTTTTCTGTTTTTTGTGTGTTTTTTTGGTTTCACCTTCTTCCCTTTCACATTGTCTCTTCTCTTTTGTTATATCTCTTCAATCTCATTTTCTTTCATTTTGGTTCACTTATCTCTTCTATATTTTCACATCATCTTTATTTTTTCACTTTTTTCTCTTTTACTCTTTTCTCTTTCACTTTGTCATTTGTTTCACCTTCTCCTTTTTATTTCACTTTTTCTCCTCCTCCTTTTGTTACCCTCCCTCCAACCCCCTATTCTGTCATCCTTTCATCCTTCCTTCCTTCCTTCCTTTTCTTCTAGCAAAACATAGATATGAAGAAAATTGTGATATTATGTGATATTTTTGTTATTGTAATTTTTTCATCATATACCCACAGGTGCTGACCAAGGTTCTACAAGACGATCCACCATCTCTTCCCAAAGATGGAAACTTTAGTCCTGAATTCTGTGAATTTGTTAAAGATTGGTGAGTTCAGATCTCATTGAGTTTTGTCTTGTGTATTGAGCTGTATACTGGGTTTGTTGGTTTTGGTTTTGTCTCTGTGCTGTGGTGGAGGTCAGTGGTAGAACGCTTGTCTTGCAGGTGCTATGTCCCCCTGTTTGCATTAGATCAGGTCCTTCCAGTTAAATCATTATTTTGTCCACATTTTAGATTCTGGGTTTGTTTGCTTGTTTGTTTGTTTGTTGTTTTTTATTTAATGTGATGTAGGTTAATGGGAGAATACTCAGTTTGTATTAGACCAGGCATCCCCACCCCCCTAGCTGACTGAGTTTTTTTCTCTTTTTCTTAGTTTTGTAAGAGTTTGTTAAAAGATAAGCAAGATGCCTCAGAGTTTGTTTTTCTTTTGAGTTAATTTCAGTACACAAATAAGATGGAGACTTGGGATGGTTATTCCACCATGTGGAAGCTTTGTTGTCAGGGTGTCAAGTTAAAGGTCTTTTTCAGGAAGATGTGCATGATTAAATGATCCAGATAAGATATGTTTTGTTTTTCTTTCATATGGTTTGATATACTCTCTCTCTCTCTCTCTCTCTCTCTCTCTCTCTCTCTCTCTCTCTCTCTCTCTCTCTCTCTCTCTCTCTCTCTCTCTCTCTTTCTCTTTCTCTCTTTCAGATTTGATGATTTCACAATTGCATAAGTCTGTATACGTAAACCATTCCATTTTATTCCCTTTCTTACAGCCTTATTAAGGAATACCGCCAACGCCCAAAGTACAAGAAACTACTTGACTATCCATTTATCAAGAAATATGAAAGTATGAAAGTGGATGTCTCAGCTTGGTTTAAAGGTCTGTTATTAAAGGGGAAGTATGCTCATGTAATAATGGTAATGAAGATGACAATTCCAACTTAGATTTATCAGTGTGTGAAATACTTGTTTTGATACTTGCAGTCTATTAAATCGAGTTAGTATTAGGTTGTGAGCTTGTGGTATTGAGTTATAAGGTTTGAAATAAACAATTCTTTAAATTTCTTTTCTTTTCATTTTCTTTCTCTTTTCTAATCATGTCAGATGGAAATTACGGTCTCTTCCACATTGCAGAAGTGTGCCGCCAGACGGAAGACAAGGTTCGGAGCTCCCCTCAGAGAGTAAGTATATTTTCCTCTCCTTTACTCCCCCGAGCCTCGCGCTCCAGCAGTCGACCCCCAAGTGCCCCCAGTAGTAGTGGGGGCGGGGGTGGGGGTGGAGGGGGTGGTGGGGGAACTGACTCCGCACCCCCACCACCACCACCTGTTGCGCCCAGAAGACGGAGTCGCACTCCAGAGGCGCACAGCCACGACCGCGTTAACCATATCCCTCTGCAACCTCAGTTACAACAATTGCAACATGATCAGCAACAACAACAGCTACAGCATCAACAACAGCAACAGGAGCAACATCAAAAGCACGAGCAGCCTGCTGTGCAGCAGCTCCACTCGCCCCAAAAACAGCAGTCACCAAAGCAGAAACAGCCGTCACCACACAAACACCACCGGGAGCAGAATGGTGACAGCATCAACAGCCCCAGGAGAAGTGGAGGCAGCAGCAGCAGCAGCAGCAACAGCAGCAGTAGAAGCAGCAGCAGCAGCAATGGCAGCAGCAGTAGCAACTGCAGTAGCATCAGCAGCAGCAGCAATGGTGGCAACGGTGTGGTTAGTCGGTCACCGCTTCCAGCCTCTCCCAATCTGACCCGCGCCGTATCTGCTTCGCCATCTCGTTCTGGGCCCCCCCTGTCACCTGCCCCCTCTAGGGCGTACTCAGCCTCCCCCCTCCAGAGATCTGTTCCCCCTTCTGCTGTCCCCCCCCACTCGTACCCAGGAGTGAATCACATGGGTCCTTTCTCCCATCCTGCGTCATCAGCTCATCATCATCATCATCAGTATGCTGTCCCATTGCCCACACAAACATTTTCTCCATTAAATTATTCCCCAAAGCCTTACTCACAGGCTTATAGCCAGTATTCAAATCCATACACCCAAGTGTTACCTCCTCGTTCAAGTCATAGTAGTTTTTATAATAACGTGTCCAGTAGTGGTCGGGACATCCACAGTAGTAGTAGCAGTAGTGATCATTCATCAAGCTCAGGAAGCAGCAGTACAACTACCACGTCTGGTGGCGTGATGGGAACGAGCGGGTCTGTGCGGGAGATGGCCAGCAGCTGGCCCACACCCAGTCACATGCCCAATCTTAGTACAGGCCAACGGGAGGCCTGGGGAGGCACTGGCAGTAGTCAAGGGGTGCCTGCCACCACCACCTCGGTCACTCACACTCCCCCCATGCACAGGAAAACTCCTGAGCCAGTAAGGTAGGTCGCTCTTTTTTTTCTTCCTCTTTCTTTGGCTGAACCCTGATGCTATGGAATCTCATATACAAAGACTATCAGATAAAGATTAATTACTTGCTTTGAAATCTACAGCAAAATTGAATTCACAGTCTCATGCTTGGCTCCTGTCATCTACTAGCAAGAATGTAAATTGCTATCTAGACCATGAAGATGATATTACAAATGCATGCAGTCATTAACAAAATTATTAAAACAAGTTATAACAATAATGACCTGTAAAAAAAGAATTAATACCAGTAAATTGCACACACAACCAGATAACCAGAGATAGAACTTAAAATGTTTCCAAAATGTGGCCATGTATACGAGATACATAACAGCCATGGCTTCTGTATTGGTTTTAGTAAAGAGGAAGAATGAATCTGATGGCCTGATCCTCCTCCAAGTAGGGGCAGAAGTCTAAGGGTTCTTTGTTCTTACTAACTCAATTTTTTGTGCTTGGGGGAAAAAAACAAACAAACAAAACTTGTGGCATCATTGGGAGAGCTCTTGTGGTGTTCCAAGGTCTCTTGAGTGGAATTCTTCTGGCCTTAATTAACAAATCCTCATTAATGATTATTAACCATTTACAAAGAGAAGTTTGTTCAAGGTTTGTTTCTGGTGTGAGTTTTGCTTATCTTCTTTCTTGTCTAATATTCTTTGCTGTTGCTCTTTCCTCTCCTCCTCTGCCTTTTCTCTGCTCTTTTTCTGTGCATTTTGATCTTTAAATTTCTGTCCTTTCCATCCCCCTCCCCTGCTACATTTTGCTTTTCTATTCCCCTTCCACTTCCTCTTCCCTTCCCCTTCCTTTCTCCTTACTCCTTTTCCCCCCATTTCCCATTTCTCTTTCCTCCTTTCTCCCTTCCTTCTCCCTTTTCTCTCTGCCACTATCCTCCTTCTCTCTTCTCTCTTCTCCCTTTTCTCTTTGCCCCTTTCCTTCTTACCCCTTTCTTCTTCTTCTTCTTTCCCCCTTTCCCTTTCCCCAAACCCTTTTTTCCTTCATTTTTCCTTTACCCTTTTCTTCCTTTATTCTTTCCCCTTCCCTCTTATGCTTTCCCTTCTTCCTTTTCTCTTTCCCTCATCCCTAATATGTTTGCTCTTACTCTTCTCCCTGCCTCGGTATCTACCTGTTCTTGCTCTTCCAAACTTTATCTCTATCTCAAACTTCCTCACACAATATTAGATTCAGATTTGGTAAAATTGAAAACCAACCTTTGCTCAAAGTCTCAATGACAAAGAGCCTTGAACAGCTTCTCATTGCCTTGCATATTAAGATGTATTTTGCACCCTGTTGAGAAATTTATCAGTATTTCTTTGTTATTCTTAGAAAGTAATTTCTTTTTGATGGGGGGGTAGGGGGGCATCCCTGAAAAGAACCGCCCCTCAGGGATGCCTCATGGGGTAACGGAGGTACCCATTTACGACCAGAATTACCTGGGTGTGTGCGGTGCTTGAAATCCTCCAGCCAGCCAGCCAGTTAGTCACTCACTCACTTGTAATCTTAGCTGTGTGAGGCAAGGGGGCAGGGTTGCTGTGAGGTACTTGACTAACTATCCCTCTTTATCTCTTTTCTCTGAGGCTGTGATCCAGAGGCACTGCCACTTCATCTTTTCACGTTGTGTTGGAAAGATAGATCCAAAAATGTGGTTTTCAGTGGCTGCAGAATATTATTTTAATGATGAAGAGTTAGATATTTAAAGAATCTAAATGGAATTTCTTGAACGGAGATTTTGTATTATGACTCGGACAACACAAAGTGCATAATTATGTACATACTCTCTCTTTTTTCCTCTTTTTCTTCTCCCAGACTGTGGCTAATTCTTGAAGTGGCAGTGCTTTCTGAAAGTGTGTTAAGAACCAAGGTTTACTAACATTGTAGGGCATAGCATTGAATATTTGAGAATGAGGTGGTGCATGAGAAGTGGGGAACTTTTGAGTAGATAATCCTCTCTCCATTATTATATATATATATATAAATATATACACATATATGCCCAGATTCTTCCCACCCCCTCCCCATCCCCCCTCCTGCTTTCAGTACTCAAAATACAGGAACATCTTGATAATTTTGGATGAATTTTGTTTTGTTTTGATTTGTTTTGTTATTTTTGCTCCCATCAAACAATCAGATGCTGTTTTTCTAATGGAGGGGGTTGATTCATACTAGTCATTTCTGGAATGTTATCTTTCACATCCCTCCCCTTTTCCCCTGTAAATAATATTTTTTCCCTTCTTTTTTTGGAAGCACTTGCCTAATCAGCTGTGTGGCTACATACTTTCATGCAAGAAGAATCCTTTCAATAACAAACAATTGTCTATAACAAAAGATGAATGAGTAAATAAAAGGATTTTCAAAGTGAGGAACAAGGACCTTCAACGTAACCCTCAATATACCAGAGACCTAAGGGGAAATAAACATCAGGTCGTAGGGTGCGGTACCGGCCTTACCTTATACTGGGGTTTTGTCCTCTCCGTTTCCTTAGATTTGTTTTCAGTCATTTATTTAGTTTTACTGTTATTGTTCTGAAATACGCCAGGAAGTTCTTTTTCTTCTGTTCTCTTTTTTTCTTTTTTTTTCTACTTTAGTATTTAGTTGCATATTGCATGGGATTGGAAGTGATTGCATGGTTCTTATGTTTTTAACACTAGTGTCCACTTGTTCATTTCATTTTCTTTAAAATTCTTTTAATCTCTTTCATTACTGTTTTCTCTTGCGTGATTGGGTGAGTGTTAGAACCTTGTGTTAATGAATATGTTCTCACAAACTAACATTGTTTATAATGCATCGTACTAATGATATACTTTTAAGAGACAAAGTATATCCATTCTGCATCATACTAATATTACACAGTTACAACTAAAGTATTTACCTTTAATTGATTTTAAGTTTTGAATTCGTTATTACAGTTTAGTTAAGTAATATTTCAGGTGACAATAATTGACTCGTATAACAAAGGTTATTTGTTTTATTCTTATTTTCTAAAAATCAATTTAGTATTATCATTATTATTAGTATTGTCATTATTTTTTTATTACTTTCTTTTTCCATTTTATTATTTTTTTCGTATTTAAGAGTCAAGCCACTAAGATTATTGTCACCGTTTAATGTATTTTCTTTTATTCTCTGATTATGTTTTAGTAATGGAATGTCATAGTTACCTAGAAAATTCTTTGAATAAAAAAGTGAGAGAGTATCAATGTGTTGTAAACTTCTGTTAAAAATCGATGTAGCAAAAGCCAAAGACAAGGTTCTAACTGAGCACATGGTATCGCGCTGTAGTGTTTTAATCTCTTGCTCTCGGTGCTTTGTGGGGCCAGTGAGCAGTTGCTGATGCTTGCAATGATGGTTAAATCACTGTTTTTATTGTTTCTACTTTTTATTTGATGATCTTAATGATCTCTGTTCTGCCTGTTCTGTTTCCTTTTTTTTATTTTGGTGAGAGGAACAATGTCACTATGCTGTCTTTTTTTATTTTACAAATGTTTTGGGGTGGACATGTATTCTGTCCACAAGATGTTCAGATCCAAACCCTTGTAAGATAGGAAAAGCATATTGTATTGCCCTCAATTTGATGTGTATTTAGTCTCTCTTGTAAAGATGTGTATTGAGAGAAGAGAATGAAAAAAGTTTCCAAAAATCGGAGTTGAAATTTTTGAAAGTACGCGTGGAATTTCACCTTAAAGATAAGACTTGATAAGCTTTCTTCATTCTCACAGTATGTATTATTATGTGATTGGTATATAAATGATATGAAGTTAATGCTGTAGCTGTATAAAATGAATGACTTGAAAGTGATTAACATTTTGATGTTGATAATGCTGTTTTTGGTAACGATGATTTGTGTGTTCATGGCGTAGCTTCTTCATTTAATTAGTTCTAGTATATTTACACAAAAAAAAAGGATAGACAAGAAAATAACATTTTTCAAAGATAAGAAAGCGGAGGATATCAGATTGTTTATCACTTTCAGGTTATCGTTTGATGTGCTGTGTCACTATGTATCACTTTTTTTTCTCTCTCTCTTCTTTCTTTCTTTTTTATTTTCACTTTTACTTTCATTTGGTAGCAGCTTGACTTAGAATGCTGTGAATTTTTGCAAGGTTGTTGTTTTTAGTGGACTTTCAAAGGCTTTTTGGGCAAGTCTGCTAGCTTCACCCTATCACTGCTTTCACAAGACGTACGTGTAAAACCTCTTTTTGTAAAGCCACTTTTCGGTACTTGCCTTCAGTGCCACCCCATGCTCCCTCTTTAAGATTAAATATAAAAGAATAACTTTAAGATTAAATGTAAAAGAATAAAGATATGATAATGGGAAGGTAAAGGTAAAAAAATGGTACTTGCTGTAATGTGCGTGCAGGAATTGGACTTCGGAGTAGATGCAAAGGGAAAATGGGCCCTCTCACGCTGTCAGATCGCTTCACAGAATCCGCATATGGAATGGGGCTTGTTGGTTTTTCTGCCCTCTTTTTTTTATCTTCTATTATTTAATCTCTTTTTAATTATTGTTATTATTCTTATGATGATATTTTTTTTTATTTTTTTATTCCCACTTTCTCTCACTCACTCTTTTTTTTTTATATATATTTGTATCGGCTCAGGGAACTTTTATTATATCAGTCATCACAAAGTAAAAGATGTGTCTGCTTCTTGGGACGTTGATGAAATTGCCGTTGCTATAGAATGTTTAGTTACTTGTTGCGTGGAAACCCAAGTCTCACAGAGAGTTGCTGCCGTACTGGATGAGGACCTGTGCTATGAGGTACACCTTAACCATTGAGCTGTTTTCTTAGGGGTTGCGATCACCTGCTGTAGGGCAGTAAAGCTTCGGAGATTTTTGATACTTTAGGCTATGCGAATAGGACTCGGATATGTTCGTGAATGGCGCTTTCCCAGGAGGGGAGATTACTGTGTCTTTGATGTATTTTTTTCATCAGCTGTTCCAACCCAGTAGAGATTTTATCTTTTTGTCTACATATAGCGTGGTTATGTTTGTATCACCACATGAAAAAATGATATATGGATGTCTTTTTTTGTGTGTGTGGATTTTAGTCATGTGTTACTTATTTAAACTTTTTCAACGATTAATGGATTCAGTTCAATCAGGACAGACTTAAGATTCTGAGTTTAAAAATTGACGT